ATTGATTTACATCAATTCCAAGAATAGGGTTATCTTCACTAGAGATGATGCCAATGCTTGATAGTTTGGGTAAATTTGCTTAAATTAATAAATTCGAATAACCAATCCAAACCAAATTCATACAAATCGATTACATTTGGATATTTCTTTTATGCCGATTGGATATGGGTCAGAAAATAAAAATACTCGTATAGGTCAGATCGGATAAAAAAATTAAAAACCTAAATGATTTGATTTGATATCACCTCTAGTTATGGCATTGATAATTTTAGCCACAAGTGGTTATCAATTTCATTTCTTTGATCATTTTCTTTTATCCTATTTTTTCATTACCTCAGTTGTCGTTAGCTTGGTGATCATTAAATTCCCTTCTTCTCTGTTACCAATTTTCTCTTTTCAAAATTTTTTTCTACTTTGCCCATGCCTTTTATTATCAACAAATTTATTTAGTTGATTGCACCTTGTTAGAGCTTTGATTTCATTTTTTAAGTCAATGCACTCTTCGATCATATGGCCGTGGTTTTGATGAAAGGTACATCTTTTGTTCAAGTATTTTTTACTATTCTATCTCACTGGCTTAGGCAATCTAAGTTGGGAGTCCCTTTCAATTTACATCAAAATTCTCTATAGAGAGATGTTAGTGTTGTGTAATTATCATATCTTTTGTTAAAGCTTATCGCCTTAAGGTACTCATTTGTAGATTTTTTCTTCTTGTGAATTATCGACCTCTCTGACCCTTTTTACGTTTGAGGTGAGAGGATGTCCTCTCTCACTTTGACTAGTTTTCATTGTACTTTAGGCATTGATGTACTTTTTCACTATAAAAAACATATCAGCTAGTGTTTTTAGGGATTCCAAAGAAAGAGAGTAAGTTTAAAATGATATTCTTTATCATCGCACCTGTTTATCATGGCAACCATAATAGCAGCTTGCTTTGAGTCTTTGACTTGAAAAGCTTCAAAATTGAAATGCATTACATATATATTTTTTCAGAGATTCCTTGTGTCCTTGATAAATAGACATCAAGCTTAAGGTTGTCTTTTTTGTTTGTCGACTACTAACAAAGTTGGTTAAAAAAGAATGGCTAAGTTGTTTGAAAGGCAAAAGTGACCTAGAATTAAGACTTGTATACCATGATCAAGCTATGCCTTTAAGGGTGGTAGCGAAGCCTTTGCACATTAATAGCTTGTCAGAACCCTGTATTAGCATGTTCGTCTTGAAAAGTTCAAGATGATTAAAAGGGTTAGATGTGCCTTCCTAAGTTTCAATAGTTGCCATCTTAAATTTTTGAGGAGGTAGAGCTCAATTAGTGAATAGAGAGGTTTCTAAAAATTTGAACTCATCATCAAAGGTGGAAGCCTTATGTTTTTAGCTTTTTTTTTTCCATGGGTTCCATCCAAGCTTTTAGATTTTAGTTGAATTGTGATTCTAAGATGGCCTTTTTTAAATCTCAAGTTAGTTTGTGTTCTTGTGTAGATGAGGTAGTAGCTCTTGAGGGTTTCATCTTTTTTAGAAGCTAACAAGGCAACCTCACTATTATTATAGGTCAACAATTTTTATGTTTGAGGATTTCTTAGGGCTACATTTGCTGGTTCTTTAAGGGGGGTTTGGGTTGCGTATTCTTAGATTTCAGGAAAAAAGGTGATTTAAGGAGAAAGTGAAATTGAAAAAGAATGTGTGATTCCTGGGTTTTGTTAACTTAGAGAATGTAAAATTACCTAACAAAGTATTTTACTATATTATCTTGGATAATACATAAATAATATATAACATTTATAATACTGACATGTGAATAACATGTGACATGTAAATAACACATTATTATCGTTGAAACTAAATAATTTTAAAAAATAATTTTTTAATTTCAGCAAATATAATCTTATAATTTTAATTATTATTTTAACGTTGATTGGCCTTATGTAGAAATAATATGTAGATTGACCTTAAGTAAACTAAATAATATTAAGTAAATATATTTTAGATTTTATATGTAATAATATTAAGTATAGATATTTTACATTTTATTTTTTCATATTTTTAATAAAGATTACGTTTTTATCATAGGAGCATCATTTTTTTCAAGAAATACTACATTTTTTATTGTGGAAACATTATTTTTGTTGAATTTTAAAAAATATTTTTTCAATATTTTCATTAAAAACTATATTTTTTATCTTAGAAAAGTTATATTTTCAACAAAGATTGCATTTTTATCTTAGAAACGTTATTTTTCTTGAATTTTGAAAAGTATATTTTTTCATATTTTCAACAAAAATTGTGTTTTTATCATAAAAACGTTGTTTTTTCAACAAATACTATGCTTTTTTATCTTAGAAATTTCTTTTGTTTTTAATTCTGAAAAATATTTTATTTTATATTTACAACAAGACTATGCTTTTGTCTTAAAAATGTGGCTTTTTTCAACAAAGATTGCATTTTTATCTTAAAAACGTTGTTTATGTTGAATTTTGAATTTTTTTTTCATACTTTTAACAAAAATCACATTTTTTATTTTACAAATGGCATTTTTGTTGAATTATAAAAAATAATTCTTTTCGTTTTTTCAAAAAAGATAGTATTTTTAACCATAACTTTTGTGAATATTACAATAATATTATGTTAAAAATATGATCTTTGTTTAAAATATATTAAGAAAAAAATTATTTTTATAATATTTTATAAAAAAAATTACTACATTTCTAAGGTAAATAACGACATTCATATAATTTGAAAATGTAAGTAAGAAGGAAAAATGAGGAAAAATTTTTACTTTCCCTTTAGAATCTTAAAAAACCTCAAATAGAAAAAGTTTTTTTTTTTTTAATTTCCCCTTACTTTCTTACTTTTTAACATTATTGAAAATCTTTAAAAGCCTTAAGAATCACATTCCCGTGAACCAAATCAAGGAATCAAATTATAAAAATTAAGATTTGAGGAGAGAAAGTTACTTTCGCATGAACCAAATGCCCCCTTAAGGTTTGAAGAGGGGTTATAATCTGGATAACTTTTTTAAGGGATTATAATTGCAAGATTAAAGTTTTGGATTATTCCATGGTCGAAATTGTCTACATAGGTTGATCTGGGTTTGCTTGGCTAAGCTAAGTGTTAATCTCAACTATAGCAAGATTATTTCTTTCTTTTGCAACACTTTTCTTGAAAGGAATTATAACCTTCACTAAATGAAAAGCCCTATACTTTGCATGTCAAAATGTTTGTGTTAAGCTCAATTTGAAAGGTAAGAACTAAAATCATAAGATTGGAAGGGGGCTAGAAACAAAAGTTGAAGGCGTTTCCAATGTTTGTATTTCAGCACTCATGTCAATACTCGAAAAAAGGGAAAGTGAGAGAGAGAGAGAAAAGAAAAATAAAAAAAATAACAAAGAAAGAATTTTTAGGATCCAATCTCTTTACCTAGAATAGAAATGGGGTATTATACATGTAGGGAAAGTGATCGAGTCAAAGTGACCCAATTAAAGGACCTATTGAATGGGCCAAAATGGGGAGACTTGAGCTGATGTGGTGGATTTACATTTAAAGTTCAAGAGCTATATCAGCATGGGCACACTCTCATTAGGTGAAATGTTGTGTTAACATAGTTAAGGCCAGCTCCGTGGAAAATGTGAGTCCTGCCATGTCAATTTGGTCAAAATGTCTGAAGTGTCCTTTGGATTAGACTTGACAATTTGAAACACGATACGATGATACAATACAAAAATGACACAAAAGATAACATGACTTTAAATTTTAGAAAAACCATAAATAGGTTTAATAAAATTAAAAAAATTATATTTTATGTTTTCGTGTTAACATGAACTATGACACATGAATTTCGTGTAAAATACGATACGAATATAATATTTTATATGACATGATGATATGAATTACCAAATCTATTTTTGATCTTGTTGACTCATTCTCTACATAAAAAGACTGTAATACCGTTTAGATCTTAAAATACCTTCATTAGATTAGATTAAATAAATATAAATATAAAAAATTACAAAATGATGTAAAACTAAATTAATTTTACAAATAGATCACTCTTTATATATATATATATGTATCCATAACATCAAAATATTATTTTATAAAATAATGATATTTTTATATTTTAATTATATGATTACTCATAAATAGTATGATTTTATTCTTATGTGTAATCAAAACTCTTTAGTTATTTATTTATTTATTTATTTATAGTATATAATATAGAATCAAAGTATGGATAAGATCTGATTTCTTGTAATAGAAAGAAAAAAGATTTGTTTTTGAATCTCATGTTTAAACAATTTTCTACGGAATTAATTAAGCTTAAGAGAAATGCAACTTTGCAATTAAGGAGTGGGCCCTAAAAATTGAGAAAAACTAATTGTTGGCAATGTGATAGAGGACGCTATCGACACACGTCTAGTTGTTTTTATTAATTTGTGGGTCCAATTTTGGAACAAAAATTAATTTGGTGACTCATTCCATTTCGAAACGTGGAAGGTGGAAGTAAGTGCCTAATCCCCTGAATTTTGTCTTACAAGTATTTTTTAAAATTAATTAAATTATTTTTTTATGTAAACGTTCTTATGTAAATGTAATCATTAAGAATTAATTTTTTGAATTTCAATTTTCAACTCAATGAAAGAATATATTACTAATTAATATAATAATTTTAAAGCCAGTCATTATCCACATATAATAACTCTAATACCAGCTAGTAATATTCAGTTTGTCAATAATTATATAAAATTTCATGCTTATTAAAATTGTTATAATTTTAACATGTGTTTTTTGTTTAACAAAAAAATGCAAAAAATCATATGATTTGTTGGATTTTTAATTTAATTAATCATGATTTGACAATTTTAAGCATTTTAAAAAATAACACATGTAATTTTAATGCAGAAAAATTTAAAGTTTGTTATATAATTGGTGAAATGGAAGAGCATGGTGATACGTGGCTTGAATTCTATTTTGTACGAAGAAATGATGTCCACATAAATACAAGTGTCAGGTTAGGAGTGATGGGGCATATTCTTGAAAGCTATTACTTACGGGGGAGACTGTTCTTTGCCCTTTGGGTAAGAGCAGCTGTGAATGTCCTTTGTCTTTGGAAACATCAAGATAGAAAGTTGTTGCCATTTGCTTCAAACATTTTAAGCTCAAATTCAGAAATGAAACCACTGGTTCTTTGACTTCCCTCCATTTGCTCGTGCCTATCGCCTAACATCCAAGCCAGAAACAAAAACAAAAACAAAAACTGACCCGAAGACATAATTGGACTGCTCTTTCGACATGGCGGGTGTTCTTCTTTGGGTCATAAGTCCCAAAGAGAATGCGACAGCTTTACTTAGTTTGATACCGAGGAGTGGGAAACAGAAGAGGTGTAGGTTATGTCCAGGACTGAAGTTCTCAACTGGGTTCTCAGCCATTTCAAGTGCAGTTGCTAACCCAGCAAGATCTGCAGAGGAGAAGGTTTATGAGGTGGTGTTGAAGCAGGCTGCCTTGGTTAAAGAAAAGAGGCAAAAGAAAGCTTTGGATTTGAAAAGAACAGATGAAACTGATGGTATGACAGATTGGGATCTGTTGAATGAAGCTTACGATAGGTGTGGTGAAGTCTGTGCTGAGTATGCTAAGACTTTCTACTTGGGTACTTGCTTTAATTCACCCTCTCTTTTCCTACTTCTGCTTTACCTTTTTTTTTTTTGCAGTAAAATTCTTTTGATCATAAGTAACTTTACTTTTTTTTCAGTTGCGGTCAATTCATTTAACAAGTATTAGCTTTATGTTTTTTTCAACATAAAAAATTTTAGCTCTTGATTTTGGTAGTATATTTTTTACAAGTTCACACATGGGGTCATTTGACCCCTATTTTATTTTATTAGTGATTCCCACCCCTCCCCCTTTTTATGCATTTCAGTTTCTCCTAAGGATTAGGCTGTTTGGTTGCCAAGAAACGGGAGAGAAAATCCAAATGAAATTTCACATTTACCATTCGGGTCTGAATAATCGCAACATTTTTCCCCTACAACTACTTTTTACTTTCTAATCCTCAATAATACTTGGAAAGAATTTTAAATTAAGGTGACTTTTTGTCTTTTTAACATCTGTTATGATGTTACAGTCAAGAATTTGAGATTATATCACCATCATTGAATTGCAACTAATCAATTACAATTCAGAATTGTTAGGGGTATATCAAAATTTTATATGGAACCCACACTTAAAGTGTGGACCTTTACATGATTTTTTATTATGATCACTCAATTTTAAAATTGTAGTAAAAAGAGTTGTAGATCAAATGCTTCCTAAGAATTCTGATTTTAATAAGTAGCAAAAAAATTTAGGAAATGAACTTGGAGCTTAGCTCACTTAGTTCATGCAATCACTCTCAAAACGTGACATCCAGTAGGTTTGGAGCTCAAATCCCAGCCGAAAGAACAGAAAGATATGAGAGAAATCAAGCTTGATTGAATGTGGTTGTTACTGGTACATATATACACTGGTCAGAGTGAGAGAGATAAGAATAAGTTTAAGTTTGTCTACAGTTTCTGTTAATGCTCACTTCTAGCTTAATCCTAATCTATAATTTGGAAAAACAATACATTAGTTAACTTTAGGTAGCTCGGTCAACTGTGGATAAGCTTCTGCTGTTACTGGGATCAATCCTGATGCAACTGCTTCGGCTGAGGTTGCTGCTGTTGTGCTCTTGCATTTGCTGGTACAGCTGATGCAGCTGCTTTGTTGGACTCTGTTAGTTGCTGAGATTGTTCCTTAGCCTGCTGCTGCTTTGTTGTGGACTTGCGGCTGTTAGTGCAGCCGTTACAGCTGCTGGTACTGGTGCTGGTGCTGCTGTGTAGTCTTAAAACCCGTACCTGCAACCTCTTCTCTGTCCTCAGGCTGCAGCCTCCTTTGTACCAAAAATAATTTTGGGAGCTGATAATTCCTACTTAAAATTCAACATGTTCCATCTCTTTTTGTCGAAGGTTCCTCTCCAAATGAACAAATAATGGGTTGTATTTAAGTAGTATTAGTACTTTATTTGGTAAAAAAGTTTTAAGAATTTCTAAATTACCATTCTTTAGGAAGACAAGAACATGAATTTTCATATTCACAACTGTCTGTTGTTCTTTGCAGGTACATTACTTATGACACCAGAGTGCCGGAGAGCCGTTTGGGCAATTTACGGTATGTATGGTTGCTTCATTAAGTATTACAAAAGTGATCCCTCTGTCATGTTTTTGGTCCATATCATTATTGGACCTTCCCTGCTTTTTCTGGCAAATGATAAAGCACTGATTTCAGCTTTTTGGGCAATTTACAGTTTGTATGGTTGCTTCATGGAAAATTTTCAATCATGTTTTTGGTCCATATCATTATACAACATTGATGGATGTTTAATTGTGTCAATTTTCTTGCTGGACATATATTTCTATTATGCAGTGTGGTGTAGAAGGACTGATGAGCTTGTGGATGGACCTAATGCTTCACACATTACACCCAGCGCTCTTGATAGATGGGAGAAAAGATTAGATGACCTTTTTGAAGGTCGCCCATATGATATGCTTGATGCTGCTTTGTCTGATACTGTCTCAAAGTACCCTGTAGACATACAGGTTTGTTGCATTTACAGGCTAAACGCTTGGAAATTTTGCAATCATTGTGCTGGAATTAGATTAACCATGAATTCTCTTTTACAGCCATTCAAGGACATGATAGAGGGAATGAGACTGGATTTAAAGAAATCGAGATATCAGAACTTTGATGAGCTCTACCTTTATTGTTACTATGTTGCTGGGACAGTGGGACTAATGACCGTTCCAGTAATGGGGATTGCACCTGAATCGAAGGCATCGACAGCCAGTGTCTATAATGCTGCATTAGCCCTTGGAATTGCTAATCAGCTTACTAATATACTTAGAGATGTTGGAGAAGAGTAAGTCCAATGGAACGGAAATTTTTTACTTTTTGATGAACTCCTAAGCACTTGTACATGACTTATGCCTTTCTGTTTTGAATTTCCCTAGTGCTAGGAGAGGAAGAATATATCTACCACAAGATGAACTGGCACGTGCTGGCCTATCGGATGATGACATATTTTGCGGTGAAATAACAGACAAGTGGAGAAATTTTATGAAAGATCAAATAAAACGAGCAAGGATGTTCTTTGATGAGGCTGAAAAAGGTGTTGCAGAGCTAAATGCTGCTAGCAGATGGCCAGTGTGGGCATCACTGTTGCTATATCGACAGATACTAGATGCCATTGAAGAAAATGACTATAACAATTTCACCGAAAGAGCTTATGTAGGGAAAGCAAAGAAATTTGCGTCACTTCCAGTGGCCTATGGAAGAGCACTTATGGGCACTTCCAAATTGTTCTGAGTTGTCATTTGCTTGAATTATTTTTCCTTTCTCCTTTTTTTTTTTATGTTTTTGTTTTTGTTTTTTGTTTTTATGTTCATTTGTTTTGATTTCTACAATGCAACAAGTCATTCGTCTGTAAATTGTTTTTACTGATTTGGTTGGTAAAAGTAAGATGGTATGGGCGCAGTTAAAATCTGTAATATGTTTCAAGTTCAATCAAGCATGAAATAAAAAGTTTATGCACTACGTAAATTCGAGTTACAATTCAGCACATTCGTTGGCTAAGCATATATATTCTGTATTAGAATATTCAGCCCTTATTTTATACAAAATTATATATAACAAATGTGAATTCTTAAGGTAAGGAATTAGGAGTGTAATTTTAATCGAGCCAGTCTAACGATACAATGCCAAGTTCAATTCAATTGAAAAACTTAAGATTATAACTTGGCTTGAGTTCAATTAAAGCATAACTATTTTTCGCTGGAGATGGGGTCAAAAATTAATGGAGCTCTCGAGCTCAACTCTTTAAAACTCAATTAGGTTTCAAGCTTGAGTTCCAAATAAAACTCAAATAAAATTTTAAAAAATGTAGTCAAATATTGTATATTATTTATTCAAAGGCTTGATAAGGCCCAAGAGCCACCCAACCCATGTTTTATAAAGCTCAAATTCGATTTGAATTGTTATTTGATTAGTTTGAGCTCAACTCAACAGTAAACAAATCGAATTCAAGCATTCATCAAGCTCTACATATCAACCCTGTGGAGGAGTCCATTTATGGTCAGTTTGTCAAATCTACATATCACCCCTCTGTTGTGCTTGAACATATTCTGATTGATATCTCTTAGCTTCCTGATTCATGTGAAGTCGGCAGAGGCGGATCCATGTGTATATGTGTATTAGTAAGTTATTTATGGACACCTTTAAAGATCGAAAAGTAAAAAAATTTGAAGAAAAAATTTTTTTTGGATACTTTAAAAAATTTCTCGACACTTTTTACGCGACACAATTGATAATTCTATCGGCAGGTTTCCTATGGATAAATCTTGGACACTCTGAAAAAAACCTTGAATCTGCAACGGGGAGTCCGCCAACCTTCTCCATACAGCTCGCTGTTCCTGCCGCTCCAAATGGACCATAGGCTACCATGAAAACCTGCAGTTGTTGCTGATTGAGTCTTTGGCTATTTTGTTTCAGCCATTCTGGTGCCGATATAGCCACATTGCTGTCATATTCCCAATGAAACCCAACCTGTATCCAGATGCCTCCAACACACTCGCAATTCCATATCGCTTGCATTTCTGTTTCTTCCTTCTTCCCTCGTCTAAAACAGATCTTAATTGTTAACATTCAATTTCCTCCTCTCAAGATTCAGCAGCACCGGTAAGGCACCTTGATAGTCTCTCCAAACTAATACTTTTATCTTGTTAGGTACCTCTGCACTCCAAAACCGTTTCCACATTGCTTGGTATTATCAGCAACCTGTGACCCCTCTTCTAAATTACACACATCTTAACATTGTATTTGCTTCTAATCGCAATAAAATATGTAAATGCTTGCAACTAACTATTGGGGGTATTTAGTGGTTAAAAGAATATAGCGATCTTTTTTCTCATCAAGAGCTTTTAACATATAGTCAAAGGTAATGTCGATATTTACGTCGACCTAATATGCTAAATCAACTTGACATACTCAATACCACATTAATTCGGCCACGTCATTATTGTTCCTTGATGCCCCTATCTTTTATCTATAAATACACACATTCAAGCATCACTAAGGCAAGTTCAATCTACCCTAATTTCTCATACTACTTTTATTCTAACATTACTAATTTTGACTTGTGTGTCGGTGTGTAAACACAAAAAATACTCTATGCTTTTAACTTTAACTGTTTTTTTTTTTTTTTTATCTTTCTATGAACACCTTTAGATCGGAGCTTGACACAAATACTATCATATGAATTATTTCGTATAACAGGATCATTTAAAAAATAATAATAACTTTGTCTTAAAATATAAAATTTTATACCACATATAAATTATAAACATATAATGGTAATTTAAAATAGGATACGATAGTACAACATGAAAATGATAGAAATAAAAATATAAATGTGATGATTGTTAAAATTTTAATAAAAATCATATATTAACTCTTTCTCATTTTGTTTGTCCATCTTTTTTTTTTTTTTTGAGATATATTAAAATTATGTTCTATTTCTTTAATTGAATATCTAAAATTCTTACTTTTTATATTTTAAAATTATTTTATGATTTATTTTTACTTTTTCTTATAAAAATTATAGAACTTTAATTTTATAAAAAAAAATTCAATTTTAATATTAAATAATTAAAAACAAAGTTTTTTTTTTTTTAATTCTGTGAAAATTAACACATGATAAACATTTCAGGATGAAGAGATATGAGTTTAACAAAAATCAAAAAGTATATTTCGTATTTTTCATGTATATATGAATTATAACATATAATTTTTATATAAAAAATAATATAAATATATAAATTATCAATATTTTATACAATATAAGAGTTCAAATTGTTAAGTCTAATTAAAACTATAATAGCTACCTTTTATCTTTAGCAAATCATTATTTAGTTGATTTTGTTATATTTTATGATTTATCAATTTAGATATATTTATTTTTAGGATTACAATTCATTTAATTTTTAATTTTTATTGTGATAGGATGAGAGTAATCTTTTATTTTTTTTAAGGGAAAGACATCTAAAAATACAGACTTGGGTGTTATATAATTCGAGAGTTAAGTTTAGTAAAAACTTTAAAGTTGAGTTTTTCTTTAAAAACTTTATTTGGTATTTATACTTTTTTGTATTAGTTTAAAGTTTAATCCAAGTCCCAAGTTAACATGGAAATAACAATTCCATCCATGAATGCATGATTGATTGAGAACTTTCATAGGCTTGATCAATAATTTTATTACAGAAACCCTAAAAGTTTGTATAGTCAACATTTGTTGTTGACGATTGTTAGATTTGTGTGTGCTTATTTTTTTTTTTTTTTTTTTTTCTACTTTTGAGATGTAATGATTGTTACATTCACCTTATCCTTTTTCAAGTATAGCCAAATGAATGGTTAAAAAGGTGACACCAAACCCAAAATGATAACCATCTTATCTTCTACTTCTTTTCTAAGATGGCTATAAAAATAGCATTAGAGGAATTCAATTCAATATTGGCATTATTTTCCTGTCAACAAAGTAACTTTAATTGCGTATGAACTGGTACATAAGGAAAAGGATCAGCCTCTCTTTTCAAAGATTCTTTTTCTTTTTATATATTCTTCATATTAAAAATTTCATCTCCTTTATCGTAAAATTTAAATTCAGAATCTTTATGATAAAATCTCAAGTTTTAATGATTGTTATATAATTATATTATTTGATTCGCTCTCCTAATTGCTTTTTAAACTCTTACATTAGCATGTGCAAAATTTGTCTAATAAGACTCTTTCTTCTTTAATTATAGGAGAATAAAATTGTAAAAGAAAATGTGTGTTTATAGCATTTATTCAATCTTAACAGTTGAACTAGATAAATTTTACAAACCTATTCAATCATAGCTATTTCCTTGGACGTATAAATAAATCTTAAGAATTTTTTTTTTATTTTTCATTTAGAAATCAGATGATGAATTGAGTTAAAATTTGAAATAAAAATTGTATTATTTGAATTTAAATTTTTTAATTTTAATTTTAAAAAATTATGATTGAATCCAACGTTCAAATGCAATAAATTTTTAATTTTAAAGATACCATATTTTAAAAAAATAAAAAATTAACAAAATGATTAGGATCTTTTTTCTTGCACATTGAAATTAGGGGAGTGTAGAAGCGGCAAGACATGTTTTAGTGGGTCCAAAGTAGGCACCGTCCTTATTTGACATGGCCTTTTCAATGGGTAAAAAGCTGTGTCTTTTAATAATTATTATTTTATTTTTTATTATTATAATCCCAAAACCTTGACTGATTGACTTGTTTTTTGCGATCCACTGCTATAATTTACATCACATAAAAAAAATTCATCTGTCCAAAAAGAGAGAAGGACGTGCATGCTTTAACAACCTAATCAGAGCGAATCAATCGTAGATTTTTTTTTTTTCTAAACAAACTTAATAATTAAATTATGAGCTCATTTTTAATATATTGGTAAGTAAAATTTTTTAATTTTATAAAAGAAATTAAAAATTATTATTATTTTATTTATTTATTTCTTTATTATACAATATTTTAAAAAATGTATCATTTTATTAATTTTATTTATAAAATTTAAAAATTTTAATATTAATAAATATGATAATTTCTATCAACGAAATACATATTTTTCTATTATAAAGAAATTTTCCGTTATTAATTATACAATGGAAGAACAGTTATATAATCTCACTAAAATTCATTGAATCCTTTATCAGTCTAAACATCCTTAATAAATTGGCCAATTTTGAAAACATGGCATGATCATATGTCAGCGTTTTGATTTGAGTCTTGAATCAATTTTGTTCTAAAATATTTTCATTCAAGGAAAATTTTGTAATATAATTTGGACAATAACATTTTAGTGCCATTTAAAAAATCAGTTGTACCGAAACGTGTTGAATCTTTAGCTTTGAATGTTTAAAGGGATAATTCGGAAAATGTACCATGTACTATATATTTCATCATGTACTATACATTTCATGTTAGTTTGGTATTTAAAAAAAAAGTTATTTTGGTAATTTAATTTTCATTGTGTTAAGCATTTTAATATTTTGTACTATTATTATCATTTAAGTAGTTAACATAATATGAATATCTAATAAAATTATGTCATGTATTATAAATTTATAATTATCGTCATGTCAGCTATTGTCATGTAGTAAAAGATTTATTTTTTTTTCTTTCTCTTTGATTCTTTCTCTTATTTTTTTATTTAAATTTAAATGCTTATGTAAAAAATAGATATTGTGACAATAACTGACCATTTATACCACATATCATGATTTTGGTAAGTATTAATGTCATATAAGTAAGTTGATTAATTATGTTATACTAAAATACCAAAATACTTGAAGGAATGAAAATTTACATACCAAAATAATATTTTTCTTTTTTTTTAATGTACAAAATAACAAAAAAATAGAATACAAGAGTCATTTTTATATTTAACCCATGTTTCAATTAAGTTCCACATTTGTTAAATAAAATTTGGAAAGTGAAATATTTTGAAT